CCCGCTGCCGTCCAATCGGCGCCGCGCAGCCTGCCAACCACCAATCGCAGGAGCCCTAAGGAAAGGCATTCGCCAATCAGGAGTTGCGTCTCGGCGGCTACCCATGGCTTCCTCACCCGCCCACGTCGCTGAGAGGAGAGTCAGTGCAGTTTCCTTCCGCCAATCCCCGCAGGCCACAGCTAGCTCGCCCGCCCGGCCCCTGTCTGTCACCGACCAAGCAGCCAGCCAATCAGGAGCGCGACATCATCCCGCCTTGGCTCTCGTTCGCTGAGGCGGGCATCGTTCGGTATTTTGAGACGCCGCGCCACCGATCTCCGGCTGCGAGAGGTGGTTGAAAGGAGGTGGCGGGAAACCACTGTTTGATCGAAATTGCCTCCCTCACGGTCGCTTCGGTAAGTGCCGCGGGGCTGCACTTTCTCACTGGAAGGGAGGGGAGGAGTGGAACTGGGTGAGGCATCACCGCCGGGCTCTGCAGCCGCCTGGCCGGCGGGGCCTCCGACCTGAAGGTCCCGGCATGCAGCGGGGTCGCGGGGCCCGACGGGAGCCGGTCCTCTGGCCGGAAGGAGTTCCTGCTGGGCTGTTATCTGCAACTCTGTTAACTCCGTTCGTTGAGGTATTCCGGGCACCTCGTGTGTTTACTCTGCAAATACTGATTAAGCCGTCTTTGTCCTGCCCTGAGGAAGTCTAGGGCCAGCAGGGAAGCTGAGATGGGCCCGTGATAACATCCTGAAGCGGAACTCGGTCGTTGCCTGAAGAAAGGCCCTAATGGTGTTCAGGGAAGGGGGTGCGCCACCAAGGAAGTATTTAAACTGACCCCTCAAGGAGGTTTGGCCATGGCATCTTACCTTGAAGAGAAGACGTCACAGGGGAAAAACTGGTTCGGTTTGGTTGGGAAGAGTAGTCAGATCTTGACAAACGAATAAGGAAGCGCTCAAAGTTTAGGAATAGGGAGTGGCCATCAAATCTGGTAGTATGTAAGGAAGGAACCAAACCAAAGGGTGAAGAGAGTGGTTTTTACAACGGATATGAACGGGTGTTCACGGGAGGGGGACCCAAAAAGCTAACATGTAGGAAGCAGTACCCAATTTACTGGTAATCAGAGAAATGCACTAAAAATATTTTTGCCTGCTCCTCAAATACCACCCTCACACCCTGTTGATAAGAGAATGCTTCATGTACCGCTTACCCTGGTAAGGAAGAACAACGGGCCTTGAAAGAGCTTTGGCCGTGTCTTCTAGGGAAGTAAGGCAAGATGGGAATGTTTTGAGAACTGCAAGTTCAGTTTAAGATGGACCTTTCAATTTGGGGGCTTGATTAGGATTGGGTAGAGACCGTGACACAGGATTGGCAGAAATAGCCGAGGCAAGGGTTTCAGAGAATCTTAGGTTCTGCTTGTTGATGTTTCCCATTGAAGAGCTGATCCACCTTTGGGGCAGTTCAAGCCATTAGAACAGTGAAAATTGCCCTGACTGGTTTGGCTCAGTGGATAGAGCGTCAGCCTGAGGACTGAAAGGCCCCAGGTTCGATTCTGGTAAAGGGCATGTACCTTGGTTGTGGGCACATCCCCAGTGGGAGGTGTGCAGGAGGCAGCTGATCGATGTTTCTAACTCTCTATCCCTCTCTTCCTCTCTGTAAAAAAATCAATAAAATATATTTTTAAAAAAGAAAAGAAAATAGACTGGTTTCCTAGAATAGGAAAGTCACGATAATGTAAACAGTAAATTGCTTGTTGGGGTGGGAGTGTAGGTAGTTTCAGTCCTCAGTATCCAACTCGTGTGTGGGGCTATGTTTTGGTTCTCAAAACAACACTAAAACAATTGTATGTCTACTAGATTGGTAAAAATTTGAATGGTGTTGGCAAAGATATGAGAAATTCTCACATAATGTAAGTGAGAGTGTAATTCAGTGTGGAGAACATTTTGACAGTATTTAGTGAAATTATGAGAAAATTCTATGGCCAGCAATTACTTGCCTGTATAAATACCCTCAAAGTCCCTAAGGAGAAATCATAGAAGGGTGTTTATTACAATATCATTTCTGGTAGTAAGGTGCTGAAAGCAAACTAGTGTTTGTCACAAGGAGAATGGACATTAAGAGTGGTATGTGCATATGATAAAATTGTTGGTATACTTCAGCCAGAACCAATGAAGTACAGTAAATTGAAGTATAATAATGAAGTGATTGCAAACATAAAGGAAAATGTAAACATACATATGCAAAACTGTATTTTTCAAGAATATATATATCTAAAACCTAGTTGAATTAACATTAAAGATGAATTGAAAAAAAGCATATTTAGAAACATTAGAGGGGGGTTGGGGAGGGATTGAGCAAAAAAGAAAAGTAGAACTCACGGACATGGATAACCGTGTGGTGATTGCTGGGAGAGGGGAGGAGGTGGAAGAGGGCATAGAGGGGATAAATGGTGATGAAAGCAAAACAAACATTAGAGTAGGTTCCTAAGGGAGATGAAAGGTAAAAGACTAAAATGAGTTAGAGAAGACCTGCCTGAAAGAAAAATAGAGTGAGTGAAATAGGAAGTATTATCTATCAGCTCAATTGTGAACACATGAAGTCTTTAAAACGGACAGAATGTGGTTAGTAAGGGTTGAGTGATGAAGGCCCTTGCAAGCCATGTTGAAAGAGTTTTGGACTTGATCCTGAATCATAGGGCAGTGTTGAGGAAATAAAAACCCTGCCAACCCAGAGACTCCTCTCCACAACACATAGAAAAGAAAGTAGTTTTATTAATGAACTAGAGGCCCGGTGCACAAAAATTTGTGCACTGGGGGGGGGGGGGGGGGGGGGCCCCCAGCCGGG